GGTCTCAAGCGAATGAGTGGTGTTTATTTCTCTGTATGGCACCCTGAAGCCCTTTCATGCTCTTTAAAACACTGGTGAGTCAGATGTTTTTATTCTGGAGCCATCTTATATGCTCAACACCCTTGCAAAACTACTGCCTCGAAGCTGTACCAAAAGATTAGGTAAGGCATTTGTGCCATGCTGGAAGTATTAACATTTATTTCACAATCAATACACATAACTGCATGAGCACGTTTTGATTTATCACATCATTAACAAAGCTCTGAGGTCATGCCACCTCTGTGCTGTAAGCCAGGATGGAATGAGATTACACAGACCATCATTATGGCTTTAATTAGATCAAGGACAAAAGCTCAGTAGCAACATTTTGAGGTTTCGGTGAAAGAAAGGTCAATGGAACTCCAGCCACTTACATAAATGCCAAAACAAAACAATCGTATATCCACTTCACTAAATTATGCAGAATTTTATAAAGCTATTGTTGGAACAAGTACACAGAATGACAAAATTGTCTAATATAATAAATGTAATATAATATAATATAAACATCTTCCAAAGCTATTGATCAAAAATATTTATTAACATTAATATATTATAATATAATATAAAGTTCGACCAAGTTGAAAATTATATTTTATAAATGAATCTAAATTTTATAGAGTTGTTTTTCAAACAAGTGTAGAAAATTACCATTGAGTAAACATTATAATAATATAAATTACAGATAGTCCACTCAAAAATTTGTGTCACTATTCAACCTCATGCCATTGCACATCTGTTTGCTATTATTTTTTTCTCAATGGAACAAAAAAAAAACAAAGAGATTTTTTTTATACAGCATTAGTTCATAGTGTTCAAAAGAGTTTAAAAACAGTAAAAAGATTAAATAACGACAGAATTTAAATGGATGAACCATTCCTTTAAGTGCTTGTATTCAACTTTAAGTGGAGATTAGAGCAACCAAAAGCATCAGCTGTGACACACATTAAAAGTGCAACACCAGTGGTTGGTTAAAACCACCCACTCACTAAAGGACAATGAGAACCTAAGCACAAAGTAAACAAGATGCTTTTAAGAAAATTAAAATCAGTGGATCATCGTTAAGTGTTGATGCAAATGCAGTTCAAAAAGAAAGGATAACTGTCTCAAAGTGCAGAGGAAATGGGCTTTCTAGCAAAGCAGAATGTCGCCAATAGCAGATTGGAAAAGCAATAGTGTTTCAGTGCAGCCAGAACGACGCTTCAACTCATCAGAATCACTACACAAAACTGAATTAATGCATATTAACTCAGTTTATTCTAATGCACTGAATTAGTCTTTTTGCATCCAGTATTGATTCATATCCACCTACGAGCAATGCAACAACACAACCTCTCAGCTGGATAAAGAAAAGTTGGTGATATAGGCAGAAAATGAATGACTGAGGGAGGCACAGCTGTGCTGTGAGTGACCAAATGTACCTCAGCATGTGTGTGTGTGTGTGTGTGTGCATATATGATTTTGAGTGTGATTGTGCGTAGATGCACTTTTATATAAAATCAACTAGCGTGGACTGTTATTACTTCCCCTCCATCATCCTCTTTGCAAATGGTGAAATTGCATTTCACCTACCACAAAAGAACAAAACCATATTCAACCGCCCTAGTAATTTTCCATGAGTCATACTCGCTGATGACAAATTAATAACTTTGTCACTCTGTGAGGGTCTATTAGCCAAACAAGAAAAATCATTTGAAATCCAAGCAATTTATCAGGGATTATCATTTCCATTTGGTTTCAAATATAAATGATGTTTGAGACCTTTCATTACACACTCCACTGAGCGTTTGTGTGGACATTTTGACCTCTGGGGCCAATGGAAAGTTGCGCATAGCCAACAGAATGCTATCTGCTTTCAGAGCAATTATTGCTAAGTGTGTGGGCTGAAGCCAAAACCCACATCTTACTGCTCAACCGTTCCCCCAAATACAAACTATTTAAGAGCAATACCACTATTTTAACAGCAAATAGAGCAATCCCTGTCATATACAGTCATTATAAGAATTTCAACTATAATTTTTAAGCTAATGACTTTGAGAAGCGCTTGAAAGAAAGCTACTTTTCAAATAAAAACAAACAGTAAAGACTACCAAGTAAAAAGAAAATAAAGGCTGTTAGAAACTTTTTTCAACAAGATGATAAAGCTGTAGATTTTGATGTTTCTCTCTACATTCAGATGTACTTTTCTCTCTGTACATCATTTCCATACTGGTTCTTCCACCCCAGCAGTTTGAAACATCCATATTTGAAAAAGCAGTAATGCACTGAGCAATTATAGGTGAAATGTTCCCTGAAGAGATAGAGACAGCAAGCACTTTGCGACATAACTATTCAGAGGATGAATATAAGCTCTTGCAGTTTGAGTGTCAGCTGAAGCAGACCAGAAATATACATTGCTGTTGCATGTTTACCGATTTAAAGGCTAAGAGTGGGTTGCACCAATTACAACTTAAACCGCAAAAGGGTTTGTTTATCTAGGTTTTATTTTAATTAAAGCCTTGTTGTACCACTTAATTTTGAACAGGGCTTAACAAATCAGTCATTAAACCTTCAACCTGTGATTAAATTTGATTCCGTGCCACGACTGATTCGCCAAAATGGCAGTATTGTTACCTGTTAACTTCCTTTTTCAGTGACATTAGAAACAGCCTCTGCAATAAGTAACCTGTGCAGGTAAAGGGGAAAAAATACACTACTAATGTAACGGTTACCAAGATCCAAGGCATAGAACTACAGCTCTAACTGAAATGTAATTCTGAGTTTATATTAATCGGTGCACAGTATTAAAGTTACCCTAGGTTTAATGATGGTTGAAGTACAAACAATTAATAAATATATCATAAATCTTAGTCCTTATTAGTGCAACCCACTGCGAAATACTTGTTTACTATGTATAAACATGATGGTCACCATCCAAAGTCAGCCTGGTCTCTTGCCTCATAATCTAAATCAGTAATGATTCTCAGAGAGCACCTTCAAAGCCGGCTATTTTTACCATTCATTTAATGACAGTATTTTACAATTGTAAACCAGGCAAAAACATTACTCTCCCCGATTCAAACTGACTCTAATTGAATAAGGTCTAGGCAAAACTCCTGTGCTGAAGGCCTATATATAGCTGTGATGTCTTCCTGTGTAACCGGAGAGTGTGTGGCCTATTAACATCACAAAAATCTGAAGCCTGGCACATTCCACTGTCAGAAATAACCAGAGGGGTATAGATGGTCCTTCAGGCCAAGAAGACAGGAGAGACATTGAAAGACAAGGAAGTGGAAAAGTGTAAGAAAGGCAGAAATAAAAACAGAAAGACACAGATACATAGAATGGGAATGGTCAGAATGACAAAATAGTAAAACAAAACAATACAGACTCCAGAAAGTTTGAAAGGAAAGGAAAGGAAAGGAAAGAAAAGGGAGGATAACAGTGGGTAGAAGGCAGAAAAAAAGACATTGTGAAGGAAAAGCAAAAGAGAAAGACATATGGCATTTAGCTGAGTGACAAGACAGGTGTAAACTGCACAACTTGTCCAGAGGATTGACACATGCATCATGACTACAGATGTTGTACTCTAGATACAATTCAGGACCCAGATTTATTAACTGGACATAGAAATTGTTTGGCATACAAAAATGTTGGGAAAACTGCACTAAAATACCCAAATAAATTAGCATGACATAGGCTTGTTATTAGGAAAAAATATTATATTATAAATGCACTAAAACACAGTTATTTATTTTGCTACCATAACTATCCACAATAATATGATTATCTTTTATTAGTTTGTGTCTCCATCAGATAAGAACAGACCTACTGAGAACAACCACTTTCCTGAACCGTTTTCAACCTTTACATGCCCAGATTCTCAGCCAAGCCATTAAAAAATTAAATAACTACAAAGAAAAGTAGCAAAAATGTACATTTTGTATGTCTTATACAAAATATCTTCTCCACAGGTCCCCCTGGAGTACACTCAGGGACCTCCAGGGGTCCAGAGACCCAATAAAGTTCTGGCACTACAAAAACTAAACTAGAGTCCAGGGAGATGGTACAAACCCTTAAAAAACTGAAGCTCAAAAGATCATTAAATGTCAATCATTAACACGGAGTGCAATAAAAACCATACACCAAGATTCAAGAGAATGCTGCAAGTACAGTAGAGGTGAAAGTTTGATGTGGCTACATAAAACACATACACTATTGATGTTGATGGAGTGCAAATATGAAACACAAATCCAATGAGAGTCATAATAGGTGCCTGTATTGCAGACAGTTTGGCGATGAATGTTAGTGGCATCAGTGAAATCATAACACTGTCAGAATGATGTGCTCTGACATCTGAAGCTGGACACCATCACCTCTCATCACAGCACTGATCCTAAACCAATGATTTACTTCTGAAAAGCTCAAATAATTTATCACACATTCCTTTCTGACAAAATGACAACTAAAGTATGAAGATACAATTCACTATGATTTTCTAGGGTTAAGTGATTTACTGAAAATTTAGCAGCTCTACTTTGGGACGGGTGAGCTGTTTGTCTCAGCCCATCAGCTGCCCCCATCATTCCCCCCTCGGCCACCAAGCAGGTCCTTGAGGTAAATGCCACAATGTAACCCCAACCAAACAAAGTGATTGAAGAAGGAGGGACGGCTACTTCACTTAATTTTCTCTAACTGGATTAGCCACCATTTTGTGAGACACATCAGAGGGATGTGTTACTCCTTTAGCAAATTATCACATATCATGTTTTGGTGTGCAAGAACGTCTGCCTTCCACCTTTTTCTCTGAAGCTTAAACTCGATAATTACCCACATAAGCTTGATAATAGGGCACAATGTTCTTATGTTGGGGATCTTATGTTCCAGTCATTTCTACAAGGCTGCAGGTAATATGAAGCCATTGATTTCTCAAAATGAAACATTAGTGTTATATTTACATTTAAAACTACATTCGTAGTTACCTTCACCCAAATCCAAAACAGCTAGGACAGCACTGCTTCTGGCCTCTCCAAGATTGTTGGTGGCGATGCAGGTATACAGGCCGGCATCACTGGGTTTGCAGTCCCTGATCCACAGGCCTCCATATTCCTGGTTATCCATGTTGAGCAGGTCATCATTGTGGTACCAGTAGAGGGTAGGTTGTGGGTCTCCAGCCACGGCCACTTTCAGACGGATATCACAGCCAGTACCTACCGCAGCGTTCCTCATCTTCCGGATGAACACTGGGGGAGTTGGGGTAGGGTAGACAGAAGCAGCAGGGTCTGGTATGACCTGATCAGAACTAACTTTTGCCCGTTTCGATGGTATCCTGGGGCTGGGAGGTGCCATTCCTCTTGCTTCTTCATTAGCACCCTTCTTCAGGGTCATCTGGACCTCAGCTTTCCTCATGATCCAGTGGAGAGCTTCTTTATGGACTGCTACACGTTACTAAACTGATTGAAGCTTAAAATTACATTAATAAGTCTATATAATGCACAATAAATTGTCCAAAAATAAAATAGCTTTTCATAACTTGGAGTTTTGATATGGTAAACATATTCCAAACATTCAAGCCGATATTATCAAATGTAAGACTCCACTCCAGGTTTAAGTTATCAACACCAGTTAAATGCAATACTTACTTATCAAATGATTTCTTAAAAAAGTTGAAATCTCTACCTGCATTAACAGAAGACCTTCTGAAAGGCCTTCAGGTACATAGAAATGTCAACAAAAAAAAAAGTTTTCTGCATCATAAATGTTTTGGAATATGTTTCTCACATCCTTGAGATGTCCAATTAGAGAAGCTGAAAACAAAATGTTTAATCTTTCTCCAATTAGGCGAATGTAGCTTGCGCATGTACTCCTGGCTGGATGGTATTTTTAGAGCGAGTCCCAGAGGATCATATTGCATTAGCAGCTACTCCTGCTGTCTTTTGGAAGATTTGGCCTCAGCTTTTCACCCTCAGATTCAGGTCCCCCAGTTCTTCGCGATCTAAGGGGGAAAAAATGACCGCTGGATCCTTTAGGCGATTACTCAATTGCAGGATTTCCAACTGGTTTCCAACTCTGTGCCTGCGGTGCCCAGACTTTCGTCCCCTTGCCCTCCAAGTTAAGCTGTCTCACTCACTCCACTCGCATGTCCCCCCGGGGAGGTCATCAAGGAACAGCTGTACCCTGATAGGTCAAATTTTTTGGGCAGCCCGGATGCTTTGGCCCAGCCCCTCATCCTCTCCCCTGGCACTCAAAGCCAATCACAAGCTCCAGAAAGTGTGACATGGGGGCCTAATGAGGGAGGGGTTCAGAATAAAGCTCTGATTCATGTGTCAAAGATAGCTGCTGAGTAAGAATCGATTCTGTCACTAGCATCAATTTCAGACTTGGCAGTGGTATTTTTTTTAAATTCCCTCAAAAAATAACATGATTCGGCACTCAAGCCTTAAGGGATCCATATAATTACTCAAACAACCATCAGAACAAAACCTATTGATATTTGATCATCTCATCAGCGATGGAAATAGTTATCAGGATTATAGAACTGAATATAATGAATGCAATGATATCTTGCAAATTCCAAAGAAGACCACAAGAACCAAACAAAAGCCCCTAAAAACAACAGCTGCTGTACAACATAGACTGCCATCTGCTGGACACCATGTATACATGCAAGCTATTTTATGGTTGTAATGGAGACAACAAAATATTTATAAAGTGTAGTGGTCAACTACTTCTAAGACAGTGTTTGGTAATAATATCTAGAAGTGTAGAATAATGCTGAATTTTGTTATTTTATTTTATTTCACACACACACATATATATATATATATATACAGTGGGTACAAGAATTTGACAAAAGCAAACTAGATAGCAAATAGCAAACAAAAATATTATAAATGACTATTTTATAACAGCAAATAAGACAACTGCTGGTGTTAAACACACATTTTTGTACATATTATATACATATATATATATATATATATATGTATATATATATATAACATTTCAGCATTATTCCATGTTTAAATAATTATAAAATGTATAATAAAATACATATATTTAAACTCATTTCACATATTTACTCAATTCACTAAATAAAAAAACTGAAAAAAAATGTATTTATATGAATTCTGTTCATTCAGCAGCCATTAGCTGCTTTCGCCATTAATAAAAAAAAAGATGAAACACTGACTGATTAATCAGCCTGGATGATATATTAGTCTATCACTAATTAATTAAAAGTGTACAGTAAACATCAAGTTCATAACTCAATAAAATATTGCATTCAATGATACAATCTGATACCTGAATCGGGGCTATTTATACAGATTTGTATAAAATGCATAATATGACGATTTCCACAGCTTTATGAATGTTTTACCTCTGATACGTTTAACACCAGCAAAGTGTTCACAAACCGCCAACCCTCTTGTACATTTAACAGATGACTGATGTTCATTTTCCCTACTTTAAAATTAGATCATAAACAACTAAAAGGATTTCAGAGGGCTGAATTTCATGCTAAGCATGTGCCTTCTCCTTGGAACCCCCTTTGAAAGGAAAATCCTCTCTGCAGTTTGTCCTGCAGAACCAGTTGTCATAGAAACAGCATCGCTCTCTGGACTGCTGAATTGAGAGCAAATGTGTGGATGGTGTACAGGTCTCTGAGTGAGTGGGAGGGAACAGGGGAGGCAAATACAACACTTTACTATTCTAACACAAAAGGGGAGATAGCAGATGTTTTAGCTGGACACTGTTTTAGGGGCTAAAATGATTGGAAAAGGCATGGATGAATGGCAGGCATGGCAACACTGGTGACAAGAATGAAGACGTTAATGGACAACAATGAATAGAAGAGTTACACTTACGTGTAGTCGAGTCTCACTTAGAGCTGGAAGGAGAGTGCTGTAATAAGTGGAGTGTCTGATGTGCTTGTAAAACATCGCCCCCTGCAGGTTTAAACGACACCCTAATAATTAGGGTGTTTTCTCAGTGATGTCATTGATAGAAACTGCCCACTTGTGATCACATTTCTCATATTCAGCTCGAATAAATCAACAATTAGACATTACTCATATCCTTACAATGATTCCCAAATCAAGACCAACAATAACTTAATATAAGCTAACTTAATTTTTTGTGGAAAAACTCAAAAGTTCCCTAAAATGTTGGTGTGATGATATTGAAAATAACCATTCTAACACCCAAAATTTAGACTCCGCCCATATGTGACATAATTTACCAGAGATGACATCATTCAGGTCTCATTAATAGGGGAGCAGAAAATGTAATATCATACTTTTAATTCATATTTTTGGGGTTTATTATAGTCAGGGAGAGTACTGTCAAGCTTAACAACTCAACCCCATCACATTATATTAAGATGGAAAAGTATTATTTTTCAACATTTTGTTTTAATCCATAAGTACATACAATGTACTTATTTTATTGCTGTCATATATGGTCTATTCTCCTACACTACATGAGGAGCAGTGGCCATTTTGAGCAAAAAACACAACCCCACCACAATCAACCCTGTCACACAAAAAAACATATATATATATTTATTTATTTTTTTCCTCATTGTTTCGGGGTTGTAAACTTGTGACAGGGTTGAGTTATTTACTTCATTTAGCAATATCAATAATGTCATGGTTATCGGTAAATATACACTTACCAAACATTCTATTCTGTTATAAATAGAATATTTTATGTAATGTGTCCAGTTAAACTTTAACAAGCATGCTCCATCAGAAACTGCACCCGCATTAGCAGCAGAAAGACAGTGTTGGGCATGCAGACATTTTGACCCAGAAAGATGGGGGAAGAATATGAGTGAACAAAACTGAAAATTAAAATTTAAGGCAATGTATTCCTTCAAATGTGTTACAGTCTTCAACCCCGTCACACCTGGTCATAATATTTTAGTAAAAAAAAAAATATGGAAGACAATTAAGGATGAAAGCATTTCTTGCTGACATATGACATGTTAAGGACTAAAACAACAAAATTGTGGTTTTAGTTAAACATCTAAATTAAACTTTTTTTTTTTACAAATATAAAGAAACCATAAACAAACAAGTTGTCTATTATTAACTTCAGTCCCATAACATGTGGAAATTATGATAAATGTTACATTTGTTATCATTAAATTGTTATGAGGGACAAATGAGCAGTAGGTAGATGTTTGTTTTATAACAAGTTCTGTGTAAAATCCTTTTTAAACAATTCCCATTTTGTCCATTACGGGGTTGAGAATAAGAGGTGTCTAAATCTGAAGAAAACTAAAAACAATAAAAGGTTTAATGCCTGAAATTTGTTGGAGGTTTGATATGTGCCTAATGATGTGGCGTATTTAGAAAAGAAATCATATATAGCTTGGAAAAAAAAATATTCCAAGTTGAAAGGTTACAGAATCCCAGGAATGACCCTTAAACTAAAACCATTTTAAAAATCTGTTAATAAAATAAATAACCAAAATCAAATAAAATATTTAAAAAAATTTGAAAAAAATATGTAGTTGAACCTGACATACTAAAATAACAAACTAAAAAAAAAAGAAAAAAGAAAACTTTATAGACATTTAAAAATATTATAAAAATGACAAATATAACTGAAAATATGATACTCACAATATGAGTTATAGTGTATATAAATCTTGTAGTTATACTCAACTCTAAAATACTTCATTATGTAGACACTGACGGCAATCTCTTTAAAATGATTTGTAAAAACTAATCACTTTTATATATGATTTACAGGGAGTTAAAAAGTCTTGGAACAATCCAAACAATTCTTTCACATTTATGGGGGATGTTAAACCAAAAATAAAAATTATTTCATCATTTACTCACTGTCACACCCCTGTGGACTGTCTTGTTGTGTTTTCATTCCCCATGTGCTTAGTGTAACCTTAATTTCTCCTCGTGTCTGATTGTGTCATTCTGTTCACCTGAGTTCGATTAATTATCCTCATTTGTGTCTGTACTTTAAGTCAAGTCTGTTCAGTTCTGTTTTGTCGAGTATTGTGTGTGTGTGTGTGTGTGTGTGTGTGTGTGTGTGTGTTCTTCCCCTCATTTTGTTTTCCGTTTTTATCTTTTTAATTATGAACGACCCTTCCGTTCTCGTCCTCCTGCTGGAGCAGCGGGATCGCTCTCTTGAGGACCACACTAAAGAGCCTGAGCCCCAAATGTCTGACCAGGTGCGAGAGCCGACAGCACAAGCGATGGTGGATACAGCGGTGGAGATCGCGGGGGCAATGGAAAGCCCCGCACATGGCGCCATCGCTGGGGGTGAGCACAAACTGGTCCTGGGAGATTTAATAGACTTGAACTCCGAGATATCCGTCCTTCAGTTTTCACCCGACCTGTTTACCATCTGTGGCATGGGCTTGCCGCTGGTCTGCCTATCTCCAGCTTCATTGGCGTCGAGTCTGGAGGATCCCTCGACTCCGTCTTCAGCCTCTCAGGCCCAGACTCAACCTCGGTCCTGCAACCCAGCAGCTCCACCATGGCCCGTCAGTCCACCGGGCTCCATCGTCCCTCCGGCTCCACCTTGGTCAGTCGTCAACCATTCGCCGCCTCGGGA